TTCGAAATAATTTTGAAAAGCCTTAATCTCTTTGGCATGAGTGAACATACCTTTCTTGGATGGTACCTGCACATCGAATGCATCAGTTAGTTTCTGCTGAATAGTAAGAGTATCGAACATATAAGTCTGATAAAACTTTGTCCACCATTCCATAAACCCCTTTGCTGTAAGGTGTGTAGGTTCGAAAGTTATTAGTTCAAAATGGGCAAAGCCTTGGTATTGTTCCTGTTGTAGTTTGGCTTCTCTTGCCTTGAAGGTTCGCCCAGAGGTGATGGCATTTTCCGTTTGGAATAGGGGTTCAGGAATTAGTTGGCACAAGCCAAATTGTCTCGAAACGAAGTTGGGTTGATAAGCAAAAAGGAAAATTTGATTCTTAGCAGGAGTAATTCTTGAAGAGATTAGTCTGGGTAGCAAAAAGGCTCTCCATACATCTTGAATTTCTTTGCTTTTAACAGCTTCTGAGAGAGCCATGGTGAACCATGAAGGTCCATGAGTCCTTGAAGCAAAAGGCGCCATGGTCTCTTCGAACTTATGCCTCTTGGAGAATATCATGATATATTTTGAGAATAGAACTTTGAATTCATCCTTGTCATCGTTTGGGGTTAGTCTTCGCAGCCTAGTGCCTTCGATGATCCCATCCGCTATTTCAGGGTCTTGTTCAGCAATAGTATTGGCAGTTGATAGTGAAGGTTCGAACATGGCATTTAGCCATAGCTGGAGTAACCAGAAAGGGCCCGATGGAAGGATGTTCTTGGAGGTGTGAGATTTCAGACTCGAAACAGCTGACCTTAGACTTTCGTAAAGATCAACTAATAGCAGTTCGCTTAAGCACACCCTCCGATTCTCATGCAAATCTCTAGCTAGAGGAATAAACCTACTGGCTACCTGTAGGGATCTGCTGCAAAAGACATACCTGGACAACCATAAAGTAAGGAAAGCAATGTGTTCTACATCCGACACACTGTCTCCTTCAGTGTGATAGTGGCTGATAAACTTTGAAAAACTAGCTAGCTTGACTTCGAAGTCAATAATACTCGAATGTTCTTCATTGTCAGGAATATAGGTTTCACCTATTGGTGATAACCCAGTAATGGCTGTTATGTCAAAAAAGGTAGGTGTAATCATTCCACCAGGGAGATAGAAAGTATTGTAAGTACTGTCCCAGAAATATAGGGACGCGAATAACAATGGGTGGCTATAAGTAAAACCTGGTTTCGATAGTTTAATCAAGTTGTAAATACCTAATTCTTCCCATTGCTGGGATTTCTTAGCTTCTACCTTATTAAACCAGTTGTGATAAGTTGTGTCTGAGGTGGAGCAAGATCGAAATGGTTTGAAGTTACTCTTTACATAATCTAGCACAAAAGGGTCCTTAGGGGGAACGATTGGATGTGCCACGGTGTTTGAATCAGAAGACTCTATTGTCTTAGGGGCATCCATTTTATTAAACAGAGGTTTGAAATTGTAACAAACTGGGAAAATTTTTCTGGTGTCTTTTAAAATTTCAAAAACTGTAAGAGGGCCCATTAAAGCTAACCTCTTGCCAGCGGCGTTAGTAGGAATTAGTACCTGGGATGCATAAAGCATTTCTTTCTCTTTTGAGATCATCTGGGTAACAAGAACAGATTGACCTTGGTAGGTGCCAACCTTGCTTTCCATTGTGGTTCATGTGGTCTTTCCTTTCTTTTTGGAAGCCTTTTTTAGTTGAGAGGAAGTTGAAGAAGACATTGTTGGAAGAATGTTGGAAGTTTAGGGTTTCGGTGAGAAAAGAGGAAGAAAAGATTCAGAAAGTGGGAAGAAAAGAAAAGACTAAGTTGATGGGTTTTTATAATGTGGAAGTTTAAGCATCCACTGAGTAAGATTGTGATACGTGGTAGTCGTGGGTTGGTTTGAGAAGGAGGTGGCGTAAAGTTAATATTGGTAATAGGCGTGATTAAAGATAATCATTGTTTTGTAACTGCACCATGCTGTGAAATGGTTCAAGGCGGTTAAGGAATCTGAAAAGCGTTGTGATTGACGTGACTGGAGTCATATGCAATAAATGTTACGATGATTCAAAGGTCGCATCAAAATCTTGTGTATATGTTTAAAATAAGTATTTCTCAAAGGAATCGAAATACATATTTTAAAGGGGCATTTTTTTGGCTGAAGATTTTGATGATATTATTAGAAGCGAAGCAAATTGGACGTTTCGATTGGAATAAAGCAAGATGTCATGTTTTGAAATGGTAGAAGCAGTGCTTCGAATGGGAATATCAAAACTTGGAGCTTCGAGTGACAGTTGTGAGAATAGATTCAAAGAAGTCTCGAAATATTAACAAGGCTGTGTCCAAGAAATGCGTTCGAAGCGAAGAAGTGCCAAAACATTTGAAATTCAAATGCAAGCGGGATGTTCGAAATTTGAAATATATGCGCTGGAGCATTCGAAGACGCGTGGAAGCAAGAGAGAGGCAGTGCTCTACATGTTCTGAACGTGGCAGAATCTTATGGCAAGACCGTTATGGTCGAAGTAGTATAAATAGAAGTCTTAGCATTAGGATTTCGTGTGTCATATCTATTGTACAAAAAACTCAGTAAACATTTAAAATACCACATGGCTAGGGAAACGAATGCACGAGCAATGTACGTATGATAACACCAAGTGTTTATGATTTAATAAAAACTCTTTATCATTTCCAGTATTTTCCTTTATCTTCATATCAATACCATTCAAAAGCTTTTGCACTAAAATGTTTTCATTCGAAGTCTTTTTACTGATGCCTTACATTTAAATGCTTTCTTTCCATTTCAAATAATTTATATTTCAAAAACTGTTGTACATTTCATGCCTTTATCTTCAAGCTTTTATCATTCGAACACCTTTTTCACTTAAAGTCATTTTACTGTTTTCTTGCATTTAAACGCTTTCTTCATATTTCGAATCTTTTACATTCCAGAGAATCTTTTACATTACATGCTTTTATGCTTCGAAGTCGTTTACTTGTCTTTTATGCAGTTTTTACATGTCTTTACAATTGAACTTTATTCATGCAATTTAGTTTCGCGCACATTTACTTGATCACGCCTTTAGATCTTTAATAGAGTAATCGAAGTAAGTTAAACACCTACACAACATTCTAAATACCAACCATGAATACCAGTTCTATCATGAGAGTTACCCTAATGACCAACACATCCTAGGATCAATCTAGTCGATCCTGTGAGTTACCAGAGAGATTGAATAACAGTCAGTAAGATTATTCGATAGTTTGGAGGACTAGCAGTTGTTTACCAGAAATCACTGTAAACAATGGGAAGATGAATTTGGAACACTGCAGAACTGAGAATCAGATTGCAGACATCATGACGAAGGGAGTGCAAGTCGAAGTATTCAGAAAGCTAAGAGCCATGATGAACACAAATAGTTTAGACACAATGAATTAGGTGGTGTGTTAAATTGTAATTCAGTGTGTCAAAAAGATTAGATTTGTTTAGATTTTAAATATATTTGATTTAAGTCTAGAATAGATTAGATTTGATTTAGTAACAAAATAGATATTTTGGGCTTTGGGTTTAGGGTGCAAGCTCAGTTATAAATAGAGTGAGCTATTTTTTGTAAGCAAGTCAAGTAAGTCATTCACAGTATTTTGCAGTTGCAAAGTGAATAATAAAATTTTCACAGTTTGTGAGCAGAGAGAAGCTCTGCAGAAATTATTTGTCTTATCTTCATTCTTTGTTTGTCTCATAATTAAATTGTCATTGTGGTAAAAATTCATCATAGACTTTGGTGAGTTTCCAACAGCTTTGACACTAACATTTAGTAAATTATGTTTGAATTTAAATATAATGATTTTCATAGTGCTATGAATTTCTATATAAGACTATTAAAACGTACCCAAATTCATGATGTCAATTCTTTTCGTGTTTAGAATGTATTTACAACACAACAGTTTATCCATTGATGCTTGAAACGAAAGTCTCGATTTCTATTATACAAAATACTTATAAGATTGTTGGAAATTTAATTCAAGTCAAATGGATCGAGGCTAAATCGTGAACAAAATCATTTTCCTTATAATTATTTCAAGCACTCTCTTTATTGTCTTAGAGTTGGAACGCAAGAATATCCAGGATAATTCAATCTTTGAATCGAGTCTGCACATGACTGGTGAAGAACTTGAATGCAAGAAAAAGTGTCTAAAATAATGAAGAGGATGTAAGATTTTGAGTGAATGATTTTCGAATTCAAAATTATGTATTTATAGGCCATGCATGTGTTGTTTCATAAGTTTGCAACTCTTGATGAAACAACGCCTTTTCAGCAAATGTTTGCAATGGTTCACCTATAATAATACAATGCACCACTTTATGAGGTGTTGTGTATTTTGAATTCGAAATTCAAATTTTCAGTAGTCTGAGACAAATTTAACTGCAACTTCTACCGGTGGATGTTCAGTGTAAAAACTAACCAAAATTTTCTTTAGACAAATTTAAAGGTAAATTCCACTAGTGGATGTTTAGTACAAAAACTGATCAAAATTCCTTCAAACAGATTTGAAGTCAATTTCCACTTTTGTCCATGAGACACTTTTATCATTTTTAACTTTGTCATATTTGAACACACCCGTAGACATTGATTGTCCATAATTTCCAACATCTTCTACTACAATTTCAAGAATAAGTTCAAATGTACAATGAGAAAGAAGGTTCATTGTTTAAAGCAAGGAAATGTTTGACTATATGAAATACGAAAGGGGTGGTTTAGTTGCATCGGTAAGACACAAATGTTGCATTGGTAATGTAAGTCACAAAATCATAAGTTTGGTTATGTTCTGCTATGAAACAATAAATGAATAAAAGAGGAATTTCAAAGATCTGTTTTCTTTTTCTAATGCATTATTCTCTTCATTTGAGTAAAATGTAGAATGAGTATCATTACTAAGGGCAACAAAATTGTTAAAATAATTTAACATAATAAATTCAAATCAATCAAATGTTTAAAATACAAATTAATTAACAATATGAATTTGAAGATATCTCTTCCTCCGAACCTCACATCGTCAACCTATTATCTCCGATACAGTCCCCTTCGCTCTTCATCTCTCAGTTCCGAAATCCATCACCATCACACACTCCCTTCAGTTCTTAACTTCACGACGACCATTTGCAGCTCAACCCAGCCCCATACTCCTCCGTCTGGTCACTGTCAACACATCTTCATCATCGAACAATCCGCTGCTCCATCTGAATCCTTCCAATTCACCACTGAACCCACACTCCCTCCGCAGTATCATCGATTATCTGTTCATCACTATTCCGAAGATACAACAACTCTATCCAGCCATCAAATTCAGTTCGGCTTCACTTTAATTCCCCCAACATTCAAGCAGTGGTAAACCTTCATGATCTCTCACTTTTTATTTTATTCAACTTCTGGTTTGGATTTATCAATGCGATTACATTTGTGTTGTTGATTTTGGTAGAGTTTTAGATAAGTTAAATGTTGATAGTGTTGAGTTTTGTTTGTGTAATTTAGGATAGAATTTTGAGATAATTATTTTGAGTTTGGGTTATGACTTTTGATTCTAACTTGAGGGATGAGTTTGTTTTGTTGTTGTGTTGAGATTGACATTGTTTGTTGATTTCGTTGTTGATGTTATGCTTTGGTTTGTGATAAGTTTGCAAGTTTTCTTAATGTAAAATTGAGATGAAGACCGCATGCGATGACATGTTAATTATGCTGATATTTAAGGTTGAATTTATGGTGACAAATGTCGATTGAGTTTATTGTTATGTCATGATTAATTGATCAATTTAAAAGAGATAATGATGACGTTATGGTCTCATTTGTGTTTAAATCGGTTATAGCATAGTTTTGTTGTTTAGTTGATGTTAAGCATGATTGAAATGAACTTATTGACCATTATCTCTATTGCATAGTTGCTGTCCTTAATGGTTTGGTTGTGGAGTTTAAGTTTAATGTTGCGTTATTTTGTTTGAATCGATTGGAAAGAGATTTGGTTGACTTTTGTTGGAAAATTAGTTTTGAATTCGAAAGTTAGTTCGGGTGATATTACTTTGTTGTTTCCTTTTGCGCTAAATATGTTTGAGATTGATCTTTTCGAGCCTTGTTTCATATGCATAGTTGTTGCCCAGATTTGATTTGTTTGGTTTTAACTGACTTTGAATTTGATTTTCCATGTTTCGATTATGAATTGAATTATAGATTGAGTTTCTTTGGTTTTCATTTCATTTGTGAATTGAAATCATTGAATAATCGATTGCTTAGTTCTTGAATTGTTCATGTGCAACATACACGTTTCATTTCGATTTTATACCTTGTAATTACTAACTTTGTTTGTTGATTTGTGCAAGCTTACAAGAGTTCTCAAGAACTTTTCTCCTCACAATTCCATTCCACTTCCGATTTCTATTTTATTCTATTAATTCTATATTATTTTAATTAATTGATGTTTGTTAATTAAAATGGATTAGTTTACTAATCTATTTTTCTTAACTTCTTTTAATGTTTAACTAATTGATTCTCTCTTTATTTCATATTTCGTTTTTCTTTATCTTTTCACTTTGATCAATTAATTAGATGTTGATTTAGTTAGTTGATTTAGTTAATTAAAATGGATCAGTTTACTAATCCATTTTTCTTAATTCAATTAATTAAGTTAATAAACTCTTAATTAATTGATCAAACATTTATTTTCACATGTCATTTTATTTCACGCGGACTTGATTCTTTTTTTCACATGAGATGTTTAGATTTATTTCTCTGTTATACTAGTTTTCGTATGTTTGTTGGAGCCTTATCTGATACAGTGACTTTTATCCGATGTTTTACGCTTTATCTGACACCTTGAGCTTACACGATGTAATTTCCCAGCTTGTGATTTATTTTCACATTGATGATATTTCGATGCTTATCTCGTACATTTGATTCCTGACTCTTTTCTTTGTTGGTGAAGCTTTCGCGAAGATCTTCGTGTTTCTTACGCTTTAATACGCTTTACGACTGACTTTTGTTTGTTTGGCATTATTCTTATCCTGTTTTTATTCTGCATTGTCTTTTGAATTCCTTTCCATGAGAAGTAGGAATAGAGATGCATGAGCTGAAGACCTACCCCGGTAGGCATTGCGGATCTGTTTATTTTTCTCAAAGTAAGCAATTATTTTTTGTAAAAGACCTCAAAAAGGGGCAATTTCTTTGTGTTTGCAAAAGACCTCAAAAAGGGGCAATTTCTTGTGTTTGTTTAAAGACCTCAAAGAAGGAATTTTCTTCCCCTTTTACTTTGTACTTGCAATCGAGTCAATAAAAGTAGAAAGAGCTCGCAATCAGCCCCCACATTTCAAGTCCATTGGTCATTCTTAGTTTGCATTGTACGTTGATGCTTTGAATTGTTCTCCTCTTGTCATTTGAGTAGATAAAAGTGGAAAGTGTTCGTAATCAACTCCCATACATTGTCATCACTTCGACGATACTTAGCTCACGTTTTTTAACGTTGATGCTTTGAGTTATTACTCGATTAACACTTGAGCTATTCTAGTGGAAGAAGGGGTAATTCGACTCGTCTACCTTGATTTCATGTACAAATAGCTCATGTTTCATGCTTGTTAGCATCCTTGTTTGTGTTTACTTTCTTGCACTTTTGCTTGTTCTTTAGGTTCACCTTTGCATGTTCCCTTAGGATCACTTGTTTTGTTTTTGATTCAAGGTAGATATTAGGTTTCTAAATCATGTATGCTAACTTAGGTAGATACTCACTTTTGTACCCAAACTTTAGGACCACCATTGCATGATAATATTAAGATTATTAGCCTCCCTTAGACTTTTTCATTCCCCTTTGACATCATTAAAACAAAAACTTCTTTTCTTAAGAAAACTTAAAAAAATTTAATAATTAAAGATGCGAATCGTATGCAGTTGAGTCTTGTGGGGTAAAGCGAACCGGTCCAGACTGAATCTTGGTCTTCTTTCACTTTCGAACTTTATTACGATTCAAATCACAAACCTTTTTGCAAATAAGCGGAGAAGTAGTGAGTGTCTCTCCCGTGTAATCCATTTGCTATCATCCCACCAAAAACACCAACCAATTCAAACTCTTTTGCCTTTGGGCTTTTCTTTGAAAATCTTTTTCTAAAAGGACGTGTTATTTCCTCTCCAGGCAAAGCGACGCGTAATTCCTCAAAGGTCAGGTGGCACTATGTCAACTGCTGAAGTGTGAATGTAATACTATTCACTTAAAGAATGCAAACCAACCAGCATTTTCAAGGAGAACTACGAGTACCCTGATTCTCTATTGTACGAAAGATGGTACATAGATACTAAAGGTTCACAACTACGACAAGCACAACTAATAAAACCTTTTTCTTTTTATATACACTTTGCATACATGTATTTTCCCTTAGCTTGATTAGCTTTAGATATGAACACACCCTTTGATTAGAACAACAAGAGTGGACCCCGTTCAGTACCACAAACGTGAGGGGTGCTAATACCTTTTCCTTACATAATCGACTCTCGTACCCGATCTCTCAGTTGTAAGATCGTGATTTCTCCTTTCAGATTTTTCTTCGATGATTTTATTTTCCCTTCCGTAAGATAAATAAATACTTGATGACGACTTCATTGATTTTTTTCTCAATGATTTTCCCAGTTGCTTCAATAATATGACTCAATGTACAACCATTTGTATAAATAATATAAATACAATATTCATAATCGCTTCAAATTTTAAAGTTATATATATATATATATATATATATATATATATATATATATATATATATATATATATATATATATATAACTTCAATACGATTGTAAATATAAAGTTCTATTAAGGAAAAGAGAAAAGATTATCAGAATCAACAAGGTGATATAAACAAACTTTCATAATATTTGATTTTCATATTATTTAATTAAAAATTAAGGATTTGGGATTTGGGATTTAAAAACAAATAATTTTTACCGGAGAACGGAGAAATAAATGTTAAATAAATATTAAATTTCAAATTCAACATCTTCATTCCCGTTAATATAAAAAATTTCTAGTCATTCCATTAATATAAAAAATTGCAAGAAAATATTTTAGATTCAAAAACAAATAATTATTATTTCAACGGTTAATCGATCCAAGACTACCTCTCATATTCTCTAGAGTTATCTCAGTAAACACCTACAAAAGAAGAAAGTAAATCAAAAGTTGGAATACATGAATTTATAGCATACACAAATAGATTATTAGAAGAATAACATAAATAATTTCAGGATTGTAAATAAATCAATTCTTAAAAGAAAAAAAAAATTCCCAAAAATCTTACCTTGGGAACTGAAATCTGAATATCGGGATAAAAAAGATTAAAAAACCCATAGATTCACTTAAGAATAAAATAAAATCTTACCTTTTCAAGAGAAAAATCCCAAATGATTGTAATATCGATTAAAAAATCGACAGAAAAATAACGAAATTGAAGAGGGACGTTAGAAGAGAGAGACAATATTTAGGATTAATGAAAAGGAAACAAAATTGTATTTGAAATGAGTGACAAAATAACTGATTCTTACTGTAAAAGATTCACTTTCTTAAAACTATGATTGTTATGAATACGTGAAACTCATTTTCCATGTAACATAAAAATCAAAACTGAAAACTCATCACTGATAATATTTGGATGAACATATGAACCAAACAACAAAGAAATAGAATGATATTACAAACGGGAAAAGATTGAATGAACACTAAAGTGGTGAAAAATATAAAAAACTTTTTTTCCAGAGGATGTGACGAATGGCAGAAGATGTGAAGAATTTTTGCAGAGGATCTGGAGAGTTTTACAGAGGATGTGAAGAGCCAGCGAATAGAAGACAAAGATGAAGGAAATCAAATGGTTATGGTCGAATTAAATAAACTAAAAAATGAAGGAAAACTTACGCTGGATATCCGAAAAGGTTATGACGTACATTAGTGAAATCAAATAATGAGTATGCAGTAAATAATATTAATAAATTAGGATTTTAGGATAATTAATGCTTATATGTTGTAATTACATTTAGGGGCATGAAAAACATTATCTAAATTGTTTTAGTTAGACTAATGAGATAATTTTGGTAGTAATTACTTTTTATATGTTGAAAATAGATTTTCATTATTTGAGATAAAAAAAATTATTTTTAAATGTCAAAATTTCTTTTTTTTACGGACACTATCAACAAAATAACTATTTTATTTTAATTAACAATTATATTTATTTAAACATAAAATTCTTATTTTTTAAATATCAAAATTTCTATTTTTTCACAAACGACTATTATCAAATGTCAAAATTCTTATTTTTAAATATTAAATATAAATTTATATTTCTATTATTTACTTTATAATTAAAT